CCTTTAGTCACCTTGCAAATGTCCTGTAGAGCGACCAGATTATTTTCCACTTGTCTCTCTTTTCTTCAGATCATCAGAATTCTACCATTTTAGAACAAGAAGGAGCTGGGGAAGCAGCAGGTCCTCCCGGGCAGAATAGGGCTCCCACACTGAAGGCGCAGCTCTGTCCCCTGCTCACTGTGCCCCCTCCCGGCCCTAGGGGTAAAATGGACACGCGTCCTGTGCCTGAAATGCAGAGGCTCTAATAGGTGGGGGCGAGTCGTTTTCTTGATTCATAGTGTGGAGGTGAGAGCGTCTCCCTTTTCCCTCCTGGGTTCTACGGCTGGTCCAAGAATTAAGTTCACATAAGACAGATGAACAGGAGGAAAACAAATTTAATTTTATATGTACAGGAGCCCCAAAGATCGGAGGCTCAAAAGTGACCAACACAGGCTGTTTTTAATGCCTTTGAGTCAAAGAAACAGTAAATTGATGACAAATTGGCAAGACGAGGGGTTTGGGCTTGGGGCAGTAAACTAGGGAAGTAACAGGGTTACTGCCCGTGGTTGGCTACAAGGCTGCCTCTCTCCCTCCTGGTGCAGCAAGGGGGACTGATTTCTTGCTTCCAAGGGGACAGAGGAGGTCAGAGTGTCCCTCTGGCACTGGCCGCTGCTTAAGTAATTTTAATCCAAAATAATCAATATGCGAAAATGGCATATTTGGGGGTGGCCTAAGCTACTCTGCTTCAGTGGCTGGAAAAGAGAAGCTGAGAGTCGCCTTGGGGTTGGGGTTGAAGCCTGGCTTAGGGCCTCCCGGCAGCCGAAATGTTGAGTACGGAGGAGGGGCCTGCAGGATGCAGTCTTGGGCTCCTGGGGCGCTGGGACGTCTCCTAAGATGTGCACACGCATGGCCAGGTGTCTGCCCGCTCCGGATGCTGGGGGAGCGTGTGCCTGCAGGTGGCTCCTGCATCTCCTTTCTTTCTCAGCTATAGGCATGTGTTCTCACACCGTGAAGATAAAACCTGTTTAGCTCCTCCTACCCAGAAATCCCGTGTGCACGTAGCCAGGGCCCAAGCCCCAGGCCTACGTACATCAGCCCTCTTCTGGTGCAAAGTCAGACTCTTTCTTTGAGGAGGGTTGGTATCTCTTCATCACCAGGAGCAATATTCAGATGGCTGAACTCACTGACACTGGGTCACACCTCATTCTTGAGGTTTTAAAAATGTTGTTTGCTCCTGTTCTTGTGGGTAATGTCTATGTCTGTCAGTGTGGTCTCTGTGCTCTGTCAGTTTGTCTTTACAAAATATCCTTCCTTATCTTCTTTCTCTACTTTAGGGATACGCATATGTTAATGGCATTGGTCTGTTGCTTTTTATTCTGGGCACAGACTGACCCCCCTCCCCACGGTCGGGGGGAGGAAGGGGTTGCCACCAAGGCCCCTGGCTGACCCCGGTCCTACGTGAGGCTCGCTTCAGCCTCTGTCTATGGAGTGCATCCCCATGCGGGCAACACCGCCTCGGGACAGCAGATGGCTTCCACCCAAGCTTTGATCTAGATCGTGCGCCACTTTAAATTTGCTGAATGGGCATCACAAGTCCCCCGCAATCCCGCTGCAAATCTTGACAACATAAAAATAATAACATGACTCAACACAGCTGGGGGGGGGTAATCCTGAGGGTAGAGGTGCTTTAAGAGCATCTTTTGACAGAACTTTCATGGCTGCGGGGGGGTGTCAAAGACACAAACCGGAAGAGAAATAACAGCAATACTCTGAGCAATCAACCGTGTGTGACCGACGAGGCAGAGGAGGAAGTATGCTGACTTCACCCCCATTCCCAGGGCCGGGGCTGTGGGTGCTATAGGAACAATTAGGGCTTGAGCACCTGGTGGAAATCATGACCGTCGGGGGCAAGGACGTCGTGACTCTCAGGCATGAGTATGAAAAGGGCCACAAACAGATGGTGAGACTTGGGAAGGACCAGACACGTGACAGAGCAAATGCCGACCCAGAGGTGCTACCAAGGAGAACCCAGTGCGGGGCAGGACGCATGCACACCACGTGCACATGCGGGCAAGGACAAGCGTGTCTTCATGGATGCCTTAGCAGCCCCGTGCTCTCCAATGCTTCCCAGAAAGACACCCAGGAAGCCGGGGCCTGGGTGGGAGGAGACTTCTTTAAACTAGTTCCTTACATTCTCGTGTTATTTGTGAGCCATGTGAGTATAATACAATTCACAGAGTAATGACAAAACATTGCAATAGAACATTTTAATGCCTTCATTTAAAAAAAAAAAAAAGGCAGCTTAAGGCTAGGAGTTTTCCAAGATGAATGTGAATTTCAGGACAAGAGACCCTGTTTCGGCCAGAAGGCAGCCGGCCAGAGACGCGGGCCCTAAAAGCACGGTCCCTGCCCCAGGACACAGCTCTGTCAGGTGACATGTGCGGAGGGGCTGCACTTGATGTTGGCTCTGTGCCCAGCTCAGTGCAGAGCGCGCAGCACACAGCAAACGGGACCAGCCTGGTGGGCCCGGGGTGTCCCTCCCACGTCTAGGTCCCGTCCCCAGCTCCGAAGGGACCGAGCGGGGGCCTGACCCATGTCTGTCTGGGTCCTGTCCCTGGGCTGCCGCTGCCTGGCTCTCAGCACCCTTCCGCAGAGCTGCCAGACTCAGCAGGTGCCTGGGTGAGGGCCAGAGGCTCTGGGGATGAAACTCCTTGGAGGCTGCATGACAAAGGATATCCAGAGTGGCAGGCGGAGGGACTGGTGGGGACGCTGCGTCCTGCAGCCTCAGAGGATGGAGAACTGCCTATGGTCCTTCTTCTGTAATCACGTTACAACCCAGAGTGAGTGTGTGTGGGCTCTTGGCGGCGCTGGGGGGCCCTGCGCACCTCCCCTCCCCTCCCGCGGTGCCCAGCACCCTCCCCACGAGCCACTCCCTGCTGCACCGCCCCCTCGCACTCCCTAACAGAGACCCAGAGGGGGCACGTCGCTGGGTCACAGTCACGCAGCAGAGAATTCCCAGAGCCTGGATCGCAACCCAGGCAGGTGTGCTTCCAAAGCACGTGCTGGTCACACCCCGCACGCTGTTGTCCTTTGGAAATATGCTCGTGCTGCAGGCACTTGGGATGCGCGGTCTCCAGTAGCCAGGATTTGGCAAGGGGTCTCTCCCTTTGCTGGAAGATTGGGGCAGATGTTCTCTTTTCACAGAAACAGTATGACTCAGTAGAAAGTGAGACAGACTCAGGGCTCCTGGCCCGGCTCTGCTGGTTGCTTTCTGTGTGACCTCAGGCAGACCACTTACCCTCTCTGAGCTGTACGGCTTCATGGCCATGTGAGGATACGTAGGCTTCCTGTCGTGGCCGTTGTGAGGGCTCAGGGAGCCAGGAGGTCAGCAGGAGAGCCCCTTGCGGTGGCTACAGTGACCACGGTGTCCTCACCCTCAGGCGGCGACGTGCCCAGGAGTCTCCGAAGGCTCAGCACCAGTTTCCCTTGGCACCCAAACTCCAGGCGCCCCACCCACAACAGGGCAAGGGAAAGAAAGGTGGGAGGGAGGGTACAGAGAAGCTCGGCCCGCTTTCTCCGGGCTGCCCGTCGTCGGTCCCTGAACGGGGAAGGACAGGCGTCTAGCAGGAGACCCCAGCCAGAGGCTGGAGGCCAGCTGGGCCACCCCTGGTAGCCTGGGGACAGCTGGTCATCATGGTGAGGAGAAGGAACCACTCAGAGTCCAGCAGACACCAGGCCCGTGAGTAGCCATCGTTGTGGACCGGGCAGGGCGTGCCACACCCCCAGTCTGTGGGGTGATGGCGGTGACCAGCCACGGTCAGGGGCTTGATGCTGAGCACACGGAACCATCCCCCCCGGCCTCACATACAGCCGGCCGGAGAGGCTCCTCGTGTGGTTGGACAGATGATGAAGTGCAGGACCTGGGAAGATGCGCGTAAGCTCGGTCACCAATGGAGCCGAAAAAGGTGTGGGAGGGACGACAAAGGAGTGGGGGCATCTTGCCCAGTGAGGCAGGCGGGCGGCGTGGCGTTCCTGAGGCCTTGTTGCTGGGCGGCCGTCCCACCCCCAGGAGGCCAGTGGAGGCCGAGCTGGTGGAGGACAGGGTTCGGCTCTGCTGCCCACCCCCCGCCCCGCCCCGGGAGCTCCTTGTTTACCCGGAGCAGGTTGGTTCTCAGCCATGTTTGGGGGGACCACCGGCTCTGGCTTTAATCAGTTCAGGAGTACAGCTGTCCGCGCCCCCAAGGAGGCCGCGTGTGCTGGGGCCCGGGCTGGGCCTGACAGTTGGTACTGCCTCTTCAGAAGCAGGCAGAGGGGGTCTTGGCACAGCCTGCTTGGGAGGCTCGGTCATTAATAACGTCTGATCAACCATAATCCCTTGATAATCAAGGAACTTCAGGAGCCGTTCAGAGTGCGGGAGCCCCCCAGAGCTGATGATGACGCGCACCCCGCCGCCTCCTCAGCAGGAGGGGGATCATGTGCAGGGGAGCCCCCAGCTCGGGGGCCACACTGGCGTTGCCTGGGGTCTGGGCGCAGGGGAGGGGCAGCCAGCAGGGAACGGAGCCCCATCGGCACTTGTTCCCACTCCCAAAGCTGGGATCTGCAGGCCGACGGGGAGGATGACTGAGAGGAAGGACGTGTAGCCACGGGAGAAGGGCGCACTTGGAGGAACGTTCTAGAAGGACGCCCTGCTCTTGGCCCTGTGAGGGGAAGGGCAGGTGGCAGGAGGGGTGAGAGGGACAGAAAAAGCAGGGAGCCCTCCCAGCCACGTCCTCTCGGCTCCAGCAGCCACGGGGAAGATGAAACTGTCTCCACATCTTGGGGGCAGGCAGGATGAGGGGGAGCGAGGGTCATGGGTCCCAGCGCTCAGAGGCTCCATCCATCACCGCGGCTGTGCCCCCTCTCAGATGCCGGCCCAGGAGGAAGGACATCGGGGAAACAAAGTGGGGGGTGGGGGTGGCGGGAATGCGGGGCCCGAGCGGGGGTAACGTGACTGACGTGTGGCCCTCCTGCCCTGCCCGCAGGGTACCAGATCGCCTACCGCCTGGCCAGCAGCAGCCCCAACACGTTCACCACGGTGGAGGTGGGCGCCACGGTGAGGCAGTTCACGGCCACCGAGCTGGCCCCGGAGTCCGCGTACGTCTTCAGACTATCGGCCAAGACGAGGCAGGGCTGGGGGGAGCCTCTGGAGGCCACCGTCATCACTACTGAGAAGAGAGGTAAGACCCGGGGCCGAGTCCACTGTCGTGGTGCTCCAGGGAGGAGAACTGGGCCTGAACGGGAGCCGCGAACGTGCTGGCCGCGCGGCTTCCCGGGTCAGGCCCTGCACCGTCGCACGTCTACACAGCCTGGCATTTACCGGACAGGCAGGAATGTCCCTCTCTGCTCCCAGAGCCATTGTGTAACTGGCCCAGGGTGGCTCTGAGTCACCACGTTGAAGGACAGCTCCCTGAAGCCGGGCACTTGGTGTCTGATGTTCACCACCACATGCCCAGCTGAGCAGGCGCTCAATAAACACATTTGCTCCTGGGCAGTCCTCAGGAGATCTGCCTTCGTGGACACCCCTTCTGTCCAAGCACTGGCGAGGTGGCTAGTATACGTTGTCTTGGTTTATCCTCACCAGAGCATGGCGAGCAAAGCGCTGTGAGCCTCGTTCTACAGAGGAAGTGGGGGCTCAGACAGATGCAGTCCTTTGCCGGGGACACAGCTGTGGGCCAGTGACGTGGACACTATCCACAGGCCCCCCAGGCCACCTCTTCCCACAGAAATCTGCTGTGGGTTTCCATCTCAGTGAGCCCCTGATGTGCCCTGCAGCCTCACTCTGACATCTGTCTGCCTCAGCGGGCTCCCTCCCCAGGGCCACCCCCACTCCAGGTGCAGAGGTCAGGGTCAGGCCTGGAGGTCTCGGCAAAGAGGAGGACAGGAAGGCGGGTCTGCTCGGAGAGATGACCTGTCCACCTCCCATCTAGGAGGCCCCAAGCACCAGGCTCTGGAGCTGTAGGACTTTAGGCAAGGCCGTGCTCCTCTCTGTGCCCTGGCGCCCACGTGGTGGCCTCCTGGGAAGCACTGAGGGCCAGCACAGTCCGTAGACCTCCGGGGGCAGAGCTGGTGCCATGGCTGTGCTCAGAGGGTGAGCCAGTGTCCCTGCGGCCTGTGTGATCTAGATCTAGAGCAGACAGTGTAAGGGAGGCAGAGTGCTTGAAAAACCATGCGCAGGGCCAATCCGAAACCTGCAAAAGGTAGAAGGCAAAGGAAGCTGACGTGCACTGAGCCCTCGCCACATTCTGGCCACACTCCGGCCACGTTCCAGGCACTGCAGCCCACTGCTCTCTCTAATTCCCACACAAGCAGGCCGAGCAGGTGGGGAAGCTGATGCCCCACAAGGTCCGGCGGCCACTCGGTGGCTGCTCAGGACAGGGCCGCTCAGCCCAGGTACATGGCTGACCCTTCTGATGGCCAACGGGGGCGGGGGGGAGACACTGGCGTCACCTGTCCGTGGCTTTGGATCTTCTGGGGGCTCCACACCTTCCAGGGGAAGGCCAAACTCTTCAGCCCTCTATGAATCCCCCGACCCCAAGCCACTGAGCCTCAGTCCCCCAAGGACGATGACAAATGCACAGCCCCTCCTCCTCCTCCGACGGTTACCTCTGCTGTTAACTGGAGGATGGAAGCCTTGGAGTTACCGGAGATGCCAAAGCATGAAGCAGATGGAGAGATAGCCGTGCACACTCGGGCCCCTGGCTATTGGCACGCAGCACTGTCCAACCTATGGCCCCCAGCACGGGGGCCCCCTAGACAGAGGACAGGCACCAGGAGAACCCCCTCCTGCCCAGGTCCGCAGGCTCCCCCTTTTCCAGGACCTGCTCGGGGCCCTGAGTGCCTCTCCCAAAGGCTCTTGCCTTCTCCCTCAGAGTTGATGCAGCCCCACAGGGAAATCCAGCACTTTCTCAGGCACAGGGAAAGACACAGGTTTGCTAATGGTTTGACGTGACTCAAATCCAAGTGGAAGCATTAACACGAGTCCCCTTCAGGAGGCACCCAGGTCCACAGCGGGGCTCCTGCTGATGGGGCTGGGGGGATGCATGCCCACACCCTGGCCCGCACCCCGACCACCTGCACCAGCTGCCTGGGGCCCATAGAGCTTAGGGGATTTCCGCCAGGGCCTGCAGAACCCCCAGCAGAGTTTGCCCAGGAGGGTGGTCCTTGCAGCTGGCGAGGGGACACAGGGCTATTGCTCTGGGGAGGAGGAACCGGGCAGCCAAGGATGTGCTCCCAGAGGAGTGCCGACCACGCCAGGGGGAAGGGCTCCTCCCACCATCACCGCAGGTCGCTGCTTTATTACCCACCACACATTCTCAACAGGATCAATAATCTTCATGATAAACAAACAATTATTCCTCCCTCTGTGGAGTTTCTCTGCTGCACTTGATGGGGGAGGAGACCCACGACGGGAACGATCCAGGCCCAGGAGCCAGGTCCTGGCCCCCTGTGCCCTGCACTCCCAGGCACCAGCACTGTGGGCACAGAGCAGCACTGACAGCCCCCACAGGAGCTGAGCGGGACACTGTCTGTGTTTCAGGCTCGGGTTGGCTTCCAGGGAAAGGAGTCAGCATGGCAGATGCCCTGAGCCTGAGACCAGAGGGAGAGCCCACATGGGCCTGGGGGATGTCACTCAGAGATGCCCAAGGGGCGTGTGGTCGTCGGGGAGCACGTGTGGGCTCACCCTCCTGTCTGCTGTCTCCACACCGAGGAAGCCAGGGTCTCCAGTCAGATCTGGGTGGGGGCAGGTCCGGAATCGGCCGCCAGGCAGCCGCAGGTGCCCGAGGGACCGGGAATCAGCTCCCTGTTCTCTGCCTTCCTGGGGAAACATCCTCTCACGCGGCCCTGGTCTGTTCTCTCGTGGTTGCAGAGCGACCAGCGCCCCCCAGAGAGCTCCTGGTGCCGCAGGCCCAAGTGACCGCCCGCAGCCTCCAGCTCCAGTGGGTTCCTGGCAGCGACGGGGCCTCCCCCATCCGCTACTTCACCGTGCAGGTGCGAGAGCTGCCCGGGGGAGAGTGGCAGACCTACTCCTCGTCCGTCAGCCATGAGGCCACAGCCTGTGCTGTCGAAAGGTACCCAGAGCCAGGTGGGCCCTGCCCGGGGAACACAGCAGGGAGTCTGCGGGCCAGAGACGCGCCCGGACCGCTCACGTCTCTTCTCTGAGTGCACACTCCCTGTACCAGGGACCGGGACGCCCCCCTGCTGGAGCCCGCTCCGGCCTCTGCCCCGGGTCTGTCCTTCCGGGCCCGCCCTGTGCAGGTAGTGTGCACACCCCAGGGCCCAGGGATGGACGAGGCACCGACGACGGGGCCAGCAGGCCTGGAAGTGTGGGTTCCCGCACCCCACGGCACCCTATCCCCTGAGAGGTGGGGGGGGAAGGGGTGTCACGGGCGGAGAGTCGCACCTTCTCTCTGTGCTCTCTCTCCTAGTCAGCAAGGCAGATGGCGCCCCCACCTGCTGTCACCCATGGGTGATGGCTGATCAGGGAAATGGGGGGGCATCCCCACTGTGCCGTGAGAACCCAGCATTTATCCCGTTCCTGAGTGAACCACTAGGCAAAGGCGGAGGGGAGCAGTGCCGATCACCGCAGCTCAGCTCTTGGCACCTACAGCCTCATTTGGGCCCCTTCTCATGTTCCCACCCCCCTCTACAGTGAGGAACCAGGGCACCCCCCTCTATGGTAGGGACCAGCATGCCCCCCTCTATGGTAGGGACCAGGGCACCCCCTCTACGGTGAGGGACTAGGGCACCCTCCTCTACGGTGAGGGACCAGCACACCCCCCTCTACGGTAGGGACCAGGGCAGCCCCCTCTATGGTAAGGGACCACGGCACCATCCTCCTACAGTGAAGGACCAGGGCACCCCCCTCTACAGTGAGGGACAAGTCACCCCCCCTACGGTGAGGGACCAGGGCACCCCCCTCTATGGTGAGAGACCATGCACCACCCCCCTACGGTGAGGGACAGGTCACCCCCCTACGGTGAGGGACCAGGGCACCCCCCTCTATGGTGAGGGACCACGGCACCATCCTCCCACAGTGAGGGACCAGGGCACCCCCCTCTACGGTGAGGGACAGGTCACCCCCTCTATGGTGAGGGACCAGGGAACCGCCCTCTATGGTGAGGGACCAGGGTACCCCCCTCTAGAGTGGGAGACCAGGGCACCCCCATCTATAGTTGGAGACTAGGGTACCCTCCTCTATGGTGAGGGGCCAGAGCACCCTCCTCTACGGTGGGGGACCAGTGCACCCCCTCTACGGTAGGGACCAGGGCAACCCCCTCTATGGTGACGGACCAGGGCACCGCCCCCCTACAGTGAGGGACAGGTCACCCCCCCCTACGGTGAGGGACCAGGGCACCCCCCTCTGTGGTGAGGGACCACGGCACCACCCTCCTACGGTGAGGGACCAGGGCACCCCCCTCTACAGTGAGGGACCAGGGAATCCCCTCTACGGTGAAGGACCACAGCACCACCCCCCTAGGGTCAGGGACCAGGGCACCCCCCCTACGGTGAGGGACCAGGGCACCCCCTCTATGGTGGGGAACCAGGGCATCCCCATCTATAGTTGGGGACCAGGGCACCCCCATCTATAGTTGGAGACCAGGGCACCCCCCTCTATGGTGGGAAACCAGGGCACTCCCCTCTATGGTGGGAGACCAGGGCTACGTAACCATCTAGGTGAGGATTCTCAACAGTGACCTCAGGCCCTGCATCCCCACCTGGGGGGCCTGGGCTGCGCAGGCTCACACCACCCTGCAGAAGCCCCCTGGGTCTGTCCGGTGGGCAGGCCTGTCCCAGGAGCCGGCCTGGCACCTTCCCTGTCCTGCTTCTCTGGCCCTGACTGTGGTCACTTTCTGTGAAGCCCACATCAGGCTGTGGGGGGGCCACGAAGGAGTGTGCCCCACCGGCTCCAAGGCTACCAGGACCCTGGCCAGCACCTTGCGCTGGGAGGGTGGAAGAGGCCTAGACCCCATTTCCCAGGCTGGCCCATGTTCCTCTCACCTCAGACAGAACACCACGTACTCATTGCCCCCTATTCTGGGCACCATGCTGGGAAATCGCGCACACATTTCTCGTTGAACCCTGAGGATTGCCCAGTGGGGGGAGGTCATCGTCCCCATTCTACAGAGGAGAGTGGGTCGCCTGCAGCCCCAGCAACTCCCCCAGGTGTCCTGACCCTCCTCCTCTGCAAAGCCACCAGGCTTAGCCCCTGCACGCTGCTGAACCTGAGCCCAGGGAAAGGAGCAGCCGGGCATTGGGGGGCGGGGGGGTGCTGGGATCCTGCAGCAGGCTGATCCTCGGACACCCCCCACCCCCCAGGCACAGTCCAGGCTGTGGGGGACGGGGTGGGGCTGGCGTGTGGCTCTTTCACTGCCTCTAATGTGCGGCAACAGCAAGGTTTAGAGAGAATGGGAGCCCCCCCCAGGTTCGAGGTGACATGTGACGCACATATGGGTACGGTCAGCACTGGGGCATCATGGGAAGGCAGACTTTGAGGCCACAACTGTCCAGGCTTCAGGTCGGCTTCCGGCCATGTGCTGTGGGTGTGGTCTTGGGTGGCTCCCCAGCACTCACCTTCCGATTGTTGCACGGTCTGGGGCCATGCGGGGCCTGGTGGCACCAGCCAGGGGACAGTGGTGGGCCGCCCTACACAGCCCACCCAGGAGGCATGGCTGCGTGTTGTTGGCATCCTCACGGCACATCCATGGGCGGCCCCAAGCAGGTGGCATGGATGTCCCGGCATCTCCGTCGTGGCTCCCAGACCTAATGCCCCCTGGGAGGGAAGGCCTTCAGAGCGGGTTCCAGTCCCAGAAGGAGGGCAGCTCATCCACTCTCAGCTCCAGCCGCCTGGGGCCCGAATGACACTCCGTGCACAGTGACGCTCCCGGGAGCACCAGCGGCGTCTGAAAGCCGAGCGCGGATGGTCCCCGAGCACATGGGCTGTTTCCAGCAGGGCCAGAGGCACCGCCGGGCCCCCCGCAGGAAGGGCATCAGTAGCTCTGACGCGTGCGGGGGGGGAGTTGGCGTCAAGGAAGCTAGTTACAGTTCCCTCTTTTCTTATGCTCCGCACGGTAGGAGATGGAGACTGGAACGGCATTGGGTAGTGCTCACCTCTGTGGCCTGGTCTGGGGGCTCCGGGAGTTAGAGTTCCCACGGGCTCTTCTTTGCAGTGGTTACCGCATTGTCGCTGTCACCCGACACTGTGTCCCTTTCAGCGGCTTCCATGCGCTGGTCCACACACTGTCCCTTGTCCGCAGCAGGCCTGCAGGCCGGAGCTCGCCTGATGAGCAGTTATGGGGGAGACAGCCTCAGGCATGAGCATGCTCCTCCAGAGGGAAGCCGGAGTCCCTCACAGTCCCCAGCTCTGCCGTTCGCTGGGCCCGTGGCTCAAAGCCTCGCAGCTGCAGACCACCCAGCCCATCTATGTGGGTCTGCGGCCGCGAGGAGCCAGGGTGTCCTCACCTAGACAGCAGGCCCTCAGCGACCCGTCGGCCCATCGGGAGCCGTGGGGCCGGGGCAGGTCTGCCGTGTAAGCTCGCGAAGCCTGGCTTCCTCCCATGTGAGAGACGGAGACGGAGCGACCACCCCGCCACTCCCCTCAGTCTGGGAGCCCGAGATTCGCCTCCGTGAGGGACGGCAGCAACCCGGCCGCCAGCGTAGAAGGCCATCCTCAGCAGTCCCGCTCTGTCCTGCCAGCACCCCTGGTTCCACACGGCCCGGGAGGCCCCGCTCTCAGCCCCTCGGAGGAGATCACGGCTGCTGGCCGGCGCCACCCGCTCCTCGGCATGGCCCCGAGGGTCAGGAGCATGGCCCAGCGTGCCCAGATGGCCTCATAAACCACACTCTGGTGCACTGGGTGCTTAGCTTAGTTAGAATGTGCTTGGGGCTAAAAATAACGTCACCCTTTGTGTAACCATCCGGAAGAAAGGAGAAAATCTCTAGTGGCCTTTTCTGTCCCGGGGCCTCCTGAGATCAGACAGAGAACTCTGTGTAGGGGACTTCACGTCGGAGAGGAGGGGCCGTGTTGGCCAGCAGACAGTCTGATTTGGCGTGGGAGGCGCCGTGGTCAGTCCCCTCCAGGCCCCCTCCGCCTGTCAGCAGACACGGGCCGCGGGCCGAGGTCCCCGCACAGCCTCCTGGGGGGCTTCCTACCCCAAGGTGAGGGTGAGCTCCTGCAGCTCAACCCCCCGCCCCGGACAGCTAAGGGTCCCGAGAGTGACGCGGGCCTGGGAAACGGGCCTAAGGCTAGGAATTCTGCCTCCTGCTCCCCACGCACCCTCCCCTGGGCCTCGGACGGGGGCGGGCTCCTCTAGCCGTCTGTCTGATGTCTGACGGCTGACGGCCTGCTCCTCACCCTGCCGTGCGCCCTGCCTGGCGCCGAGGGGCCGCTCTGGCCTCCGATCCCGAACCGTAGAGAACAGGGAGGTGCTCATCCCGAAGGGCTCGACGACACGTCCGACCCGGTCCTAAATGTCACATGCTTAGCAAACGTAAGCGCTAAATTCAAGCACGAGGGTCGTTTCCGGCGCAACATGGGCCAGACACC